TTTTTTTTTTTTTTTTTTTTTTTTTTTCATTTTATATAAAGGGATGTGTGTTTCGTTAAATCGGACAGGTTGCGCGTATTGGATCGGAATGAGATCGTTGAAAGAGGTTGCGAAAGAGTGCAATGCTGTGCAGAGTTTCAGTTTAACAAAGTTACACGTAGTCAAGCAATGTTAGGTTGCCTACAGATAGTCGGTGGCAGCGATTAATGAAGAAAGAAAAGGGACAAAAGACAGAGAGAGAACAAAAATAAGAGAACACTAAGATTACGAGATGATACTTTGAAGAGAAGAGACACAGAAATTGGCAAGTAAAAGAATTTGACAGGAAAGAACGAAGGCAGACGAAAAAATCGGGCTGGAAGGTGTACGTACGATTGGCAGATGCTGAGAGAAACAAACGGATAAAAGGACAATGAAACGACGACGAAGCTTTAATTCTCGATCGGTCGACCGATCGACAGGATCGTGGATGAACGTTGTCGCTTCGTTGTCGTCGAGAAACAATTTGCGGTCAAGACAGAGAATTTAGAAGGCAATAATAGGGTACTCGAGTGTCAAAACGAAGACGTAAGGGGAATTTTTAACAACACACGTTCATAGATTTCACGTGGATACTTCGAAGGTGTTCGGCGTGATCTGGATTCATCGATCCTCTAGCGTAGTTTGATAAAATGGAAGGACCGTGGCCAAGTATCCACGTGAAATCGTCCAAATGAATTATCTAGGAACGATGCGTTGAACTCAGTGCGTACCTAAAGCTATCTGGCGCTCCGGGAACATGGCTGCTATCTCTACATCTAGTCTACATACAGACTAGCGGCTCATCTGATATGCCGTACATGATATGTGATGTGCTAGTGGTGTTTCTAGAAAGACATGTCCTCTCTTACGACCTTTCACACTTTACCCATTCTCGCGATTACCTTGCAAATAAAACACACGTTTCTCGGCTTGTCCAATAACGCGAAATCACTTGCCCAATATAGCCACGCAAACTCTTCTCTCTGTTTCATCGTTCTTCTCGTTACTCATCGATCGTGACTGACTTTTACCGTATTCAGAGCCGACCGTTATTATCGATAGGTCGAACGTTGATACGCGACATTTTGCAGGGGTATAATGGCACGGACATGTACCGCGAGAAATGTCCATGAGTATCTATACCGGTTCAACTTACGTCTACGCGTCTTACTCTTCTTTTAACGATGTTTGAATATTCGCGAATATAACAGCTACATATACGTCTAGGGATTCACTTTGAAATGATGCATTAGATATACCGACAAACGCGATCAAGAATAAGACTCGATATTTTTTACGCTTTTTCTCCTCCTCTCTCCATCGGGGAATTGTGCTTGAAAGAAGCTCGAGCTACCGTCGGATTACGCGTAAAGAGAATACTAGATGGGAGAGTTCTTTAAATCTTAAAGGACTCTAAGGACGTGGCCGAGGATCGACGGGACAAAGCTAGGGATGGAGGTCCACTGACCAGGGATATGGTGCCAAACAGCTTATACCACCCGAACACCATCTCATTGAGGTCCAGTTCGTCCAACACGATCTGCGCAACGCCCATGAACACTTTTCTCCCTTCTAATCGGCCGTAATCACCCCATACTGTCACCTGCAATCACGCGAGAAACGTCAGACGATCGATGCGATCCTCCGGGTCCACTGCAACCACGAGAGAAACGAGATAGGAATCTTTGCGTTCGAGTACCTGCAGTATGCAACCCCGACAATTTTTCCTGAAGGTTAACCACTGTTGGTAGAACGGATCCAATGTTTTCCTGGCTGCCGTCGTTTTCTCTTTCGCGATGCACTTCTTCCCGTTCACCAGGTAAACTTTCACGTAGGAAGCTGTAAATGGAAACGAGACGCCGCGATTAACGTGTCATTCGTCACGATGCTGTCTGACAATTGAAAGACTCTATCAATGGTAGAACTACCGAGTCGCGATATGTCCCTAAACGTGGTACACGAAAATCAACGTTAATTTCTTTAGAAATTAGCTACACGTTTCCAATGACCGTTTTCCTCATTGATAGTTCTAGCATTTGAAAAATCAACCTACCGATGCAAGGATTCGCTACGTACCTGGAATGGCTTTAGTGCCCTGTTTCGGTTTAAGGTCTTTGGCACGTATAACCTCCACTTCGAGATAGCCTTTCTTGTGGGTGAGCGAGAGCTGAATCGCGCCGAGGCAGCGAGCACCTAGAGCCTGCCTTCCGACCACCTGTCCAGGCCCAAGATCTTCGATGAAGTCTCTCAGTTGGCCAGTTTCGCCTGTCATTCGTAGACTTGGAGACCAACTGCAGTTTTCAAAATCAAACGTTTAATGGCCGATGAAGGTCTGCAGCGTATCTCAGGAGGGGTGAGAATCGAAAACGAAAACGGGACAAACGGGGCAAACAGAAATGATTGTCGAGGGAAAGCTCGATTCACAGCTTTCAGGCATTGGTCGTGAATCGAAGTACACGATGTATCTATTCATCGATCGATTATTTCGTTCGTAAAGGCGATACTTTTATTGGCATTGCTGAATTTCATCGAGTGAATCACGAGTGGGGAGGGGGATTAAATAAATCAATCGTTAAGAGATCGTTCCGCGGGAGCGAGGGACGATTCTCGCAAGCCTTCGACGGTAGTGCGGAAAGAGAGAGCACACCTCATTCAATTTTAGACAAGAAGAACTCACGCTGCTAGTATAGTGTTGGTGTAGCGAGTAAATATATATATAATATATATATATATATATAGTGTACGAAGAAAATCGTAAGGTTGGAGAACGTAGCAGGCTGTCGGTGCATGCAAACCATTCTATGAGCGAGTACCATACCAATTGTACCTTTCAACGATAATCAGGTTTGCCCTTTGACACAGTTGCTTCATCGCGGAGCTCGTGGTTACGCTTATTCGCTCTCTGATTATCGTTGAATCGACTAATTGTACTATGTCTATTCATGCTTCGTTGATACTTAAACCAGAATAATTGTTCGTAACTTACGTTCAGGGTTACCTTTCGCTGTCCCACTGTCTAGAAAATCTGCCCCCGTTTACCGGAACGCTTTATCATCCTCGTTGCTATATCGTGTGAAATGATAAAACTTTGGGACAGGGTGATAGGGTTCTTTGATATATCCACCACGTCGTGTGATCTAACATCCAGATAATATTCTTTTTCTTTTGTAGAAGGCGTAAAAGAGACACTTGATCGGGACTGTTAATCGGTATAACACGGAATCTATACGATGAAGGATCTGGACAATGATTGTTCGTCTGCTGCGTTACGTACATTGCAGTGTGACTTCTTTCGGAGCAGGAGAGGTTTGTAAGTACGGACAATTCGATAATTGCATATTTAAGAAGGATTTCGAATCAAGGATCAGGAACGGCTTCGTCGTGTGAGCAAGGAGAATGATCTTTTCCTTTTACCATATACGTGTATACACAGAGTGTGTGCGCGATTTACATACAGAGGTGCTTCGACGGTTATTTAGCCAAGCAGCAAGCCAAGACGACGGTAACATCGACAAAAAAAAGAAAAAGAATATGATAACGATATCAAGAGACACTGATGTTACATCGAAACGGTGAGATACAAAACAAGATAGCTGAAAAAAAGGTTAAGGAACGCAAAATAGGACATTTGTATGATGTGCTTGCATTTCTCGGTTCCTCCAGCTTCTCTTCCCTTTCGTGGCTAATTACGCGAACGAAAGAATAAAAGAGTCGTATGTTGGTTACAAAGGGTGATGACATGGGTGTATAAAAGAAGGAAGGGGCAAAAAGCATGAATGAGCAAAACATCAATGCTGGGCATACACATCAGCTCAATCACACGTCGAAAGACAAAACGATCCACGTTTCACGTTCGCGATCTCCTGTGCAGTAAACAAAAAAGAGGTTGTCCGAGGAACACGGTGAAGTAAAAACAGAGAGAAAGAGAAAGAGGTAAAGACAGAGAGAGAGAGAGAGAGAGAGAGAGAGAGAGAGAAAGAGAGAGAGTCAAACAGAGAGAAAATAGAGTCATTTGCAGGGTTAATCCAACGCTTTGTACGAATTTCTGAATCAGCGAAATCATCGATCTCTTCCCATTTCGGTACATTTAAAACTCACGAGTAACCCTGCTGGAAAGATAGCGGATAGTTTTCGAGACAGAGATATAGACCAAGTGAGAGAGAGAGAGAGAGAGAGAGAGAGAGAAAGAGAGAGAGAGAAACAGAAGAAGAAGAAGAAGAAGAAGAAGAAGAAGAGAAATAGATAGATATATATAGAGAGGGTAGAGAGAGAGAGAGAGAGAGTGGTAGAGTGAAGAAGAAAGAGTTGAAAGAGACAGCAAGGAGTCTCGCAGTTCCGGTTGCAGAATCGGTCGGTGGAGGCCACTACTTACGAGCTTCCTTCGGAACTAGAGATCGAGTTGAGACTTCCGGCTGTGTCACTGGCCACCGATCCCGACTGTTTCCCGGATTCAAAGCGCTGATAGGGTACAATCTCCTCGGAACGCTGTATGCTGCCCGGTGTGCTGTTGCGTTTCCGGCTCGATAAACCGGCGCGTGCCTCCGCGACACCGCTTCCGATGGGCATCCCGACGATGCTGCACTCTGCGTTGTAAACCAAACAAGAAACAACCGCTAAAGCTATAATCTTTCATTGTCATTTCCGCATCGCGTCTGCCGCAGCCGTTTTCTCTCTCATCCAGCTCCAGGTGGTCGCCGTGCGTTTTTTCTTTCGATTTATCTCTCGCGACTCTAACTCTCTTTCTCTCTCTCCCTCTCTCTCTCTCTCTCTCTCTCTCTCTCTCTCTCTCTCCCCTTTCTCACCCTCTCACGCTCATTCTCGCACACCCTCGCTTCTCTTTTTCTCACTTCTCCTTCGTACGAATTTTCTCTCGTGACAAAGTCAAGGAAACGATAGAGAGAGATATATATGTGTAAATATATATATGTATATATATATATATGTAGGACACATGTACGCTTGGATATGAAAGTTCGACCAAGTAAGTGTGAATGATCGCCGATGAGGGTTGTCGAGGAGATAGACCGGTAGTAAGGAAGGGTGCACTCAGATCGGTCAACTACTACGTTAACAACACGTGGAAAGATAGAGTTGGACGGCCTGTGCGTGGTCGGGGTCGGGCTTTCGAGAGTCTCGACCATGTCGACGACGATTCCATGGCGGGTCGAGGGAGAAGCCTGCGAAGCTGAACGCCCGTTGCCTGGAAGAAAGAACACGATAGGGCAATGGTTAACAGCTGACGGAAATTCGAGCATTTTCCGAGAGCTTTCCGACTGTGTTCCGGGATCGCACCTGTAATCAGAAGCGCGCAGAAAGCGTCACAAGCTAGAATGTTTAGTGTGTCTTCAACAAAACGTCACATTTATTGGTTCCTGCTATCGAGAACTCTCTGCAACTATGTACGCATATAGATATATATAGATATATAGATATATATATATATATATAGATATATATATATATTCATACAAGTGTGTTGGCGTGTCGTGTTCGTGTAACACATATCACGTGTACGTGGGTTCAATCCTACGAAAAGTCGTTCGTTTTTCTCCGTTGGCCTGCTAGGTGAAAGACTGGCTTGCACCGAACTTTCGAGAAGTGGGTACACGTAAGAAGTGTCCGCAGGCAGAATGTACAAGACTGTGTGCTACATTCAACGAACCTGTTTTGCCTTTCTTTCTTTCATCTTTTTTGGTATAACTGTAACGAAAATAAAAGGAAAAAGAATAATATCGAGATACGTATAGTCGGTATATATGTAAGGTATATATATGTATATATATATATATATATGTAGAGATATGCGCATAAGAACACTGCAGCGCTCGAAGACATCGAGAAACGAAAAGCCGTAGTGGGTGAAGTAAACCCTCACCCCAAGCACGTATGAACAGCGGCTTCTAAGAAAATATAACGACAACGAACCAGGTGGTCAACTTACCTACCGTACGCCGAGTCCCGATCCCGATCGAGACTCGCAACAAGTTGACCACGTGTTTCATCTAAAGGTTGAAAAGCTGTACAAAACAGACAGACACCGCGACGTACTGCCAGCACGAATCTGGACCGGCACTATAGCTACAGAGTCACGAATAAGACAGCGCGACAAATGTACTTGAGCAGCTAATACGTAAGGTTCTTGAGCCGCAGATACAACCTTTCCGCTCTTCTTTCTCTCGATCGAACTCGACGAAGAACACCTCCTCGTCGAGATCGTCGCAGCTCAGGAAACTCGTGCAAACGTTTCTCTAAGAGTTACGTATCGCTACTACGTAGAAACAGACTCTACGATCTATGGGGAGTAAGTGGAGGAACGTCTCGCGACTACTTGGAGGACCGTGCAACCTCGAAAAATACTTTCCTCGATGACGAAGATGGTCTCGATGACACTCTCGAAGGCCTCGATTTGGCAACGGTATCGAGGCAAGTATTTCCCAGCGACTAGTCGCGAACGTTTCGCGTTACTCCCTTCTCTAAAGCACAACTTCTTTCTAGAGAATAATGTGCTGCGTGTTTCATGACTGTTGTTGTTGTTGTTGTTGTTGTTGTTGTTCATATAAGTGTCGTAGACTGATCTCACGTTGCTGTCGTTCTTCTTGCCGTGTCTCTCTGCAACTTGTACTCACATTTCGCCGAAGGCTCGGAATCACTGCGAACGTCTCGACATCCTCCCGACCGAGTGGACCGCTAATTATCGTGGTGAAAGCGAACCCTGAGGAATCTACGAATTTCCACGGGATACCTAACGCGCGTGCCGTTTCTCGAGCCGTTTCGATTCGTTCGAGCGAAAGAAATCCGCACCGATGACACACCACGTCGCTCGCTCCCACGTAACGAAAAGAAACTGGGGGGATCGAAATGAAATGGGGAGATAAATAATTAAAAAGGGTGATATATATTTTGCAGGGTGTGTTCGGACCTGTCCCCGTCGCCGCTACCCTCGCCGTCACTGCTGGCGGAACTCGGCTGCCGTCCGCTCCTTCCGCTAGCCGTGTCCTCCGGTAATACCTCCTCGCTCCTATGAACTGTAAAGGAGGACTTGCCCTTCTTCCCGAATCCTAGCCGCCGCCTTCGTCCTTCGTCGCCCACGCATGTACCACCAACAGACGCACGTGGTATGTTATGGTTTTTGCGTCACGTGACACAGTATTTTTGTCGTGGATGTAGTAGTAGAAGTAGTAGAAGTAGTAGTAGAAGTAGTGGTAGAAGTAGTGGTTGTAGTGGTGATCGTTAGTAGTAGATGTCGTAGAACAGCGGTGAATGTGAGAATGTGATGTAGATTTGCATATACAGTATCGATATATGCGCGGTGGTGCGTGTATGAAGATTTTTCTCGTGGTAAAAGTGTAGTATTATTATCATTTTATTTTTTATTTTTTTTTTTGGTTTTTTTTTTTTTGGTTTTTCTCAGTTGAGCGTTTCGTTTCGAGGTTTTCGCATAATAGCGGAGCGATCGTTCCAGCGATCGATCAGGGTGATCCGCGTCGAGTGTTGTCCCGTGACACGATCGCGCGAGCGACGATATAGCCCCGCCACGATGAGAAATCGTGCAGGTGGGTGCAGATCGATGACGTGAATGGTCCCCAGCGTCGAGAGATAGTTGGTTGGTAGAAGTAAAGTGTGAATGTGTTCATGTCGAAGAGAGGCGGATAGAGATGAGGAGGGATGGCGGAGAAAACAAGAATACGATTAGAATGTACATACTGCCCCGTTTACTGGGTTTTTTGCTCTTCTACGGTGTGCTCTTGATATCGTTTGTGCGCTTACTTCGCTCTACTTGGCGGATGAGGCTGGTGGCGCAAACGAAGGGAAAAGAGAGGTGGATCGCGATCGATCGTTCGTGGAGAACACACGTAGCGAGAGCACATCGTAGGTCTACTCACTAATGGCGCTAAACTATAACGCTACGCTATTACTCGAGGGACTATCGATATATATTACAAAGAGACTGACTATAGAGATTAAGATGCGAGATAAAAACGAAGAGACAGAGAAGATAGACTATATAGTAATCGCGCGAGAATAGTATGAACGCGAAAGAATATGGTTTATCACGCGACCGCTTTCGATTTCATCGAATTTCCCGAGCAAAAAGATCGTAGCAAATACATCGCACGCAACGACTATAACGTGAAATTCGAAGAAACGACTAGTGTGACGATGTGTTACCTGTGGCGGACAGCTGACTGGTGCTGTTACTCTTCTTCCCCAGACCCGCCTGATACTGCACCGCGCTTCCGCCACCGTTGCTACTTCCGCTTCCGCTTTTACTCCCGGGCGAGCTTTTGCGACCCCTTCTCGAGGAGTCCTCGACGTTCAAACCGATCGCCGTATCGCTCAAACTACCGTCTAAGGAACAAAAGTCGCGTGAACCCGAGAATATCGACGACGCGAGGAGGAGCTAGACACGGATGGGGAATGAAACGACATAGATTTTCCAGCACATCGAGATGAAAGAAAAGAGGAGAGAGACGAGAAAAGAAATACAGTAAAATATAAACGTATAATCGCCGCGAACTTACCAACTTTCTCATCCTGTGGCGCGTCGGTGTTACTCAGGCTCCTCGTGAACTGACCCCTTTTATGGTCGTCGTGCTCGTTATCGCCTGGCTGGCTCCTGGACGGCTTCTCGTACGAGCCCGACTGACTGGTGTACTCGCTGCTTTCGGGCATGGAGGAGGATCGGCGATCCCGAGCGTCGTCGTGTCGTTCGGCAGCGACGGCAGTGGTATCGTCGGCGGCGGATGCGGTTTTTTTCCGCGAACGCCGTCGAGTAGACGACGTTGGGGACGCCGAGGCCACGGTGGTTTCGTCGAAGTTGTCGCGCGGCGACGTTTTCGTGTTTCGTGAGGTTTCGTGGTGATCGACGGCCCGTGGGTGGTAGTTTTTAGCAGTGTCGGAGGTAGCGGTTTGGGAATCAAAGAGACTTGAATTAGCGTTACCGGGGTGGGGTGCTCGGTTACGGGGCCTACGCGGATCGCACGGGCCAAATCCGCAGTTCTCGCTGCACTGGCTCTCGCTCTCCATCGAGTACTCGTAGTACTCGAGGGTGTCGCTGATCGCTACGTTCCTCTTACTACCCTGCTGCTGCTGCTGCTGTTGACTCGGGTGCTGCTGGGCTTGCTGATGACGTTGCTGTTGCTGCCTCTTCTCGAGCAGCTCGAGATCCCTAGCCTCCGGGCAACTGCTGTTTCGCCTACGGTACCTAAGCCTCGATTCTACCGACGGCCTCCTCTCCTCGCTCTTTCGCGAGAACGAGCCAGACCTACCTACCGACTCGTACATCTCTAATTCCCGACACTCCGGACAGCTAGTCTTACGCCTAACGCGATACTGCGACGACCGCAGCGATCCCGACCTAGCCAGCTCGCACGGTTCCGGATAGTCGCAAGTCCGAACGTTCTCGTATCTCGGGTCGTATCTCGAGTCTACGTAACCATCGCGAACCTGCTCCGCGTCGTAATAGTCCGATCTAACGATGCCCTCGCTAACCATCCTGCCCGTCTCGTTCTTCTGACGGAAGCAATCCGCGCACACGACCGTTTCCATCGAACCGAAGTCCTCGTCCGAGTCCAGGATGAAGTTCGTACTTCTCTCCTCTTCCTCTTTTCTTCGCGGAGCATCGTAGTACCGTAGCTCCCTGGCTTCGGGGCAACTGCTGTTCCGTTTCCGACGATACAGACGTCTGGCCCTCTCAGCCCTCTCCGAGGAGCTCAGCTCCTCGTCCGAACGTAGGATCGGCGTAGATTCTGCTCGTTGCAACATCATTCGCTTGCTCTCCACGAACGTTGGCACGGTCAACGTGTCTTTCGCGCTCGACGCTATCTCTCGATACCGAGGCCGCAGGTTCTCGTACACGACCGTGTCCCTGCTTTCGCGTCTGCCTCTCCTCCGTCTTCTTCGTGGCATCTCCGCGATATCTCGATACGCGTCGGCTCGCACGCCACACTCCGGGCCGCTGTGCGCTTGATAGTCGTACTCCTCCGCGGAACGATAGTCTCGGTAATGATCGGTGACGTAGGGTTCGCTGTCCACGTACCGCGACGATCTCTTCCTTCGTCTGCCGCTTCGACCGGTGCTCTCCCCCCGCCTGTCGTAGTAATCGTCGTACATTTCCGCGTCAGTCCTCGGCACGTTTTCGTTCTCGTAATCGTACAATCGTTGGTCGTAATCGTCGACGGTGCCACGGTCGATAAACCCTTCGTCGTACTCGATGTCCCAGTCGTAACCGTCGTATCCGTTCTCCAAGTACGACTCGCTGCTCTTGGCTCGTCTTCGCGAACGAGTGGCCATCCTCTGATCGTCGTATTGCTCCAGATCGGAGGGGGCACGGATCGCGGAACGCGCAACGTCCCTGTCCCGGCCGTAATTCTCCGCGGAGGACAGCGCCTCGTCGATGCTGCAGTAAATGTGCTCGTTAGCCGTGTCGCAGATGTCGCCGTCGAGATTCTTGGTTCGTTTCTCCGATATGTCCCTAGCGAACGCGGGATCGTGATCCTGAAAGGCGGAGTCTCTGTACTTCCGTTTGGTAGGATCCTCCCGGCCGAGTACGTTCCGCAGGCCGATCTGATCGTCGCTACTGAAAGAATTCTCCTCGGACAGATCGTAGGAACGATAAGCCTTGCCGGCGAGGTCCATGTCCGTGTTCTGCTTGTCGAAACGCGGCATGTAAATTTCCGTCTCGCCGCAGCTGAACTCGGAATCGTATCCGTAGAACGGCTTGTGATCCTGCTTCAGCATGTAATCGTAATTCTTCTCGCGATCGAGCAGAATCTTGGGCATCTTGTCGTCGCCGTTCGAGTCGAAGTACGATTTACTCTGATCGCCGAGGGCCGGTATCTTGTCGCCGTATCCGGCGTCGTTGATGGCCATGTTCTTCTTCAACTTGCGACGCGCGGTCCTAAGGCTGTCGTCGCTGAATATGTTGCTAGAGATGGTGTCGTACTCGAAACTCTTGGCTCTACGCGAAAGCATGCCCGTGCCTAGTCCGATACCGAAACGGTCTGCGTAGGTGTCGTGCAGCACGTCGTAGTCGAAGCTCCTAGCCTTCGAGAATAAAAAAGATCTACGCGGTCGTAAGCTAACGTCTAGATTCCTAATGCCGTGATCGTCCGTAAAGTCGTGCAAGCCTCTCGAGAACAAGTGGTGTCTAGATTTCGCGGACCTGCCGGTACGATCTTGCCAGCTACGCGACCGTCTACGCATACCGGAGTCCAGTTGATAGGGCGACGAGTATCTGTCGCGAAACTTCTCGATGAGGCGATCGTTGAAGTCGACCTGAAGGCAATCCTCCACGTATATCTCTGGTATACGATTCTTGGAGCTACCGGTTAGCTCCTCTGGCTTGAGTATGTACCCCTCGGAGACGCTGTACTCGCTGGTCTCCGGGCTGTAATATCTCAGCATGTTCTCGTCGACGGTCTGCGACCTCGTGAACGGCGTACGCATCTTTCTGTACAACGAGCGCACCACTGCGGACTTGCTCCGTACGAGGGGATGCGGGGTGGGATTGTGCTTGCTGGGGTTGTTGCTCCTGGGCTTGGTGGGATTGTTGTTCGGACAGTGACATTCGCTGCAGGGTACCCTAAGTCTGTGCCTGCGCCTATTGCGCCTAGGGGGCAGGGGCATAGGGGATATGACACCGGGTATTAAAACGTTTTTAACTGTCGGTCTGCAAACAATGTTTTTCATATAGAGTTTTAGCGCTTCTGCGGTTACATTAACGATTTCTGTTAGCCCATTCTTCATTTTTTTTTTTTTT